GGTCGAACGTGGCGTAGGATTCGTGGGATACTCCTATTTTAGTGAAATGCATCCTATCCTGTTCTGGATACAGACATAATTAATATGGTCTCAAAAGGAGCAAGTTCCACCCAAAGCCCGGCCCTCTTCGTCTCCGGGGTGCGGAGCATATGTAGTGGGCGAGAATTGGGGAAAAACCAACAATCAGAAAAATTTCTTTTGTTGACAAGTGTGACCCTACGTTGTGCTTCCCAACCAATAGTGCGCCGCTGGATGCGGCGAAGTGCAGAAAATAGCTCATCGCGCTGCATTTCCCAGCTTGCCTTGATTCCAGTCAAAGCGCAGCAAATGCGGGGATTTCAGTTGAATACGTACGACCTCCCCCCCCCCCTCACACACCAGAAAACGGAACTTCACGCAAACCCTCCCACAAACATTTACAATTTCCCCGATCTGGAAAAAAAGGTCGATCAGAAGTTTCTTTTGGCTATCAAATGATGATAGTGACAGACGATCTGTTCCGACGCTGAGGCACGTGGTGCTCTGCACGATCACAACACCTTGACTGAAGCACTTTAGCACTTTCGGTGAAATCGCGGTCATCCTGAGGTCGTTATTTTGGAGGGAGGGATTGACAGGGCATGTTTCATATGCCATCCTCCGCGCAAGCTTCGATTCAACCACCATTTGTTGACACATCGGTGACTAACAAATGAAATCAAAGAGAAGAAAGATCCGGAACTAGATGGCGGGGTTTGGTTCAGGCAGTCCAGTCAATCTATGAGTAGTGTGATTAAGGTGCGGAAGACTGCATGGTGAACAGTGTGTGGCTGGTGGACGTAGGCGCAGGGCAGGAGGGGTGCGAGGGATCAGGATGCGGGCGGGTCGGGAGTTATGCTGCTGGGGCTCTAGACCGCGGCAGGGAATAAAAAAAGGGGTCCAGAACTGGGTGTTCGGTGTTGTTGGGTGCGAGGTTAGGGGAGGGCCGGAGACGTGGGATGTGGGTGGACCCGGAGAGGTGGCCGGGCTAGGGTGAGGAGGGCGAAACAGTCGACGCGATTGGGTGGAAGGGAAGCTCTGGGGACGCATGTTGAAGTTCCTCGAAATCTGATTCACGAGTGCTCAGGAAGGGGGAAGATCGTCGTCGCGATCAAGATTCTAATGAGCTGTAGACTCCGTCCGCGCGTTTGTCAAAGAAAGAGGACACTGTGATTTAACCGGCTAAAAGAAATGATAACCTTGTGGAACTCTCGAAGTTATCACTTCAAAGAAATGTAGGGTCTGCGCAAACCTAGAAATATGGTAAAAATGATTGTCCAACAACAATACCGTACCGTCACGTGCCAGTGGTATTTCCAAGAGAAAAAGTTAGCGCGGAAGCTGCTACCATCATCAGCATATCCAGTACAGAGACTGCCTATCGCTCTACTCAATAAACGGGTTAATGCCTTTGTTGCAGAGGATATTTTCCACATCGGAATGCAAAGGAGCGTCCGGGTGATGGCTGCGTACACCACCCTTTTTCTCCTAGGCTGCGCTCGTACTACGCCACAGTAGTGACTCGTTGAATTTAATTTTCCAACCTTTACGGCACTCCAGTCGCGCTGGAGCGCGGTCAACCGCACTCACGATACAACTCGTGAAGTTTGGAAGCAGTTCTCTGTATACCTCCCTTTATACCTCCCATTCTTTTCGACCTTCGCAGCCAACTATGCTCTCTCAGCCTTTTGCTTGCCTCAGATACGAGCTGTGTTGACCTTCAAAGGTAACGCATGCAGTTTGAAAGGATGTGGCCTGGAGTTACAGAGCACGGGCCACTTGGGACCCGACGAATCGGGAGGAGAGTGATGGCAAACAAAATTTTTCCACTTTCCCTCAGAATAGTGCGGTGGACGGCGAGCGAGGGAAGAGGCGTGGGGTATATAGGGCTCCTGAAACAGGAAAAAAAGAGGAAATTGAAAATTTCACCAAGACTCCAACGGCCGAACAGATCCCCTTGGTCTTTTACAAAGGACAACGAGCAGACTACGGTGACCTCGAAATGGCAGTATTGAATTCTTTGATTCGAGGCAGGTGGTGGTTTGCTAGGAAGGAGATAGTAATTCTAAGTACATCTGCATAACATAAATGATCGATATCAGGCGATTCGATCAACTTGCCTTCTGTTCAAAATCTGACAGGAAGTTCAAAAAAGGAGTTTCGCATACTAAACTTGCGTTCCGTTTGACATGTGTACATATATTTCCAGCAGCACCGAACAATCGTATGAATCAAACAGGCCCACATAAATCAATGAGAAAAGGTTACCATTCCGTTGGAATGCTATCAATTTCAGGCTTCGTCACCGATAGTGATGGCAGTGTAGACGTGGAGAAAATCGATATCACAGAGGATTTCGAGAAAGAAATCAACAGTCGTATGGCGCTCGTATATACTGGAAAGACGCGATTAGCAAAAAATCTTCTCCAGGTGAAATTTTTTATCAGACTGACTACTGATATTGAGCTTGTCATACCACTACAGTATTCGGCATAACTGTTCAAAAAACAACAGGGGCAAGCGCGAATTCGAGTTTTGTTCTGTAGTAACTTCCGTAGAACCCATTATCCGGCCGGAACCAGCTCACCACGCTATATTTCTATTTCTGTTCTATTTATTGCATGTACGCTAGATACATGAGGTGGACAGGTAAGTAAAAACCACAACCATAATTAAGGACATAACACAACCCTGACAAGAAAGGAGAAAACAACAGCTATAGATAGATAAACTTATGATGAAACAAAAGAATAGGTTGGTGTGTGCTGTATGCGATAGCATGTTTCAAGTTGAACCTTTTGACTCTTCTTCCACCTCAGAAAGCTGTTCCGCTGATCAGACCCTCCCCCCCCCCACCAGAACAAATAGGTAGCAATCTGTGGTTCCAGGAACCATTTAAGTAAGGCGCGCACTGTAGTGGTTCCTTTAGACAGCACTGAAATGCATGCACCGTCCACAAGAAGGTCATTCGTGTTACCCTTCTTTCCTTTTTCATCCAGATTAGTTCACTCGAGAAATAGTGACTCCTAAATGCCAGTTGTTTCAGGAAGTCGTTCGCGGGTGGTATTCTGGAGGACCAGTTAGGGAAGTGATCTCTTCGTTGGAAAATAACGTTGGCCAGTTCGCCGCCAAAATAAGAGGAGGTTTGAGAAAAATTAGTTTGAATAGACCATGCGCACATGAAAATAAAATAGGTTTCGGGTTCACTAATGCAGTTACCAAAGTTGTCACTGGAACGTCGATTTCAATAGCAGGAGCACCATCGGTGATGTCTTGAATTTAGTCTAAGGACTCTCAAGTCCAAACAAAAAGAAAATAAGCAGGCGAAACTCTTCCCCTTCATCACATGACAGAAAACTCCAGCGTTGATCTTTCAGTGGCGCATTTAACGACACTTTACCCCATGTTCGCCCCGCTTGCGCCAAGTCCGTTTCTAAGGGACATGTTCAGGATGCACTGTACATTCCTTCTATGACGATCCTATTCCTTACTTTGTACAGGCCAGGTTGTATTAGGTTGGAAAGAAAGTCCTGCGACACTTTGACCAAAATTTCGGACCAAATTTTCCTTTACTAAAAGACACCTCTCAATCTACAAGGTAATCATCAGCACGACAAAAAGAAGAGGTGGCCCTTATTTCGAGCAGACGTCGATTTTTGAAATTTTTGCTTTCTAAAGGATGCGGTAGGGATCAAAGGAGGTGGTAATTAGAGGCTGCTAACTTTGGTAAATAAGCTGGGTACGGTCGCATTCCCTGATCGAGATCCATGATCTTTTGGCGTAGCCTGATCCCACATGCGGCCTTCGCATTGCCGAGTAGTAGAAAGAAAGTGAGTATTTCTGAATGAATTCAAGCGTGACGTCATCCATGTTTTGATGTTGATTAGTGTAGACTGTGGCCGACATTGCTGTGCCAGTACCCAGCGACATCCTCTGAAGTGCCAGGATTAACACAGTAAAAGCTTGATTCCATGCACATCTTTTTTTTAGCTGAGCAATCTACTTTCCTCCTTGAGAGATCGTCGAGGGATATGTGCATAGTTTACGCAGGGGCTACAATACACTCGCACTCACAAGATCTCACAAAAAAATCTTCTAGTGTTTGCAAGGAAAAGAAAACTCAGTCGCTATGATTCGGTGCGCTTTGTCAAGCCCAACTCATGAGGCATCCTTCACAAAAAATTTTTCCGATAACCGAGATTGCGGAGAAGCATGGCAGTTGTCAGTTAGGTGGAGCCTAGAGAGGTTGCCAACTTACTGGTGGTTACGTTCGGCTGCGCCTCAAGAAGCTTGAGTAAAGCGGCCGTCATTCTGTGCTGGTGGCCGACCTATACATTGCCTACCTCCGAATTAAAGACACATGGTACGCTCAAACACATTGAGGGTGTATGAGACTAACAGCCCCCCAGCTGTCGATGTGTCGTGGTTTCCCCGCCTGAAACTGCACGGGGGTCCGAGTACGGGACCGTGGGAAAGGCTTATTCCTTGCTACACCGCCCAAAATGCAACTTGCGCGGCGAAATGCAACTTGCGCGCGGTGCATTTTGGGCGGTGTAGCAAGGAATAAGCCTTTCCCACGGTCCCGTACTAGAACCCCGTGCAGTTTCGGGCGCGGTGAAGACCACTCGACACATCTGAGCAGGCTGGGGGCCTGTTAGGCTCTCATGTATACCTTTCCAATGTGTTTTGTAGCCGTACCATGTGTCTTTAAATAACTCCTGCTCGGAAGCGCTGATGCAAACGCTACCCTCAGCCATGGAAAACGATATCCTCCACTGAGATAACGTAGATGTCCGCTTCCTCGACTACGGCGGAGCTGCTCTTCAGGAACTCATAATGTGGGATAGGTCGAAAAGAACCTTGACCTTGGGGGGGGGGAGACTTTTGTCTTTAGGAAGCCGTCCCGTAATAGTCAGTGATATCAGCCGTGCTGCAAAGAGCCAAGAAGATACAACTCCTTCAACAGGGGTGAAAACATTCAACTTTTTATCTTTTCTAGAACAATCAAATCATGTCGTAGAACTTTCCTTCTAACCTAATGGAAGTGGAGGTCTGTAGGAGTGTGCCCCTTCTGTCACTCGAAGGTGCGAATTGAGATGAAAGTAGTGATATCCGGATGCCTTTCGCACTCCACCCACAGGCAAAAGATGCAGTTTTGTCACGTGCAGCACGACCAGGCAACGCCTAATATAACCTATCTGTCTGCGCCCGCCCACATTAGATTGTTCTACTTTTGGCTGCCTACTTTCGGGAGCTGGGGCAGTCCTCTATCACCCATCTAAACTTTAAATTATACTTCTCTGATTAAAATGGAGACTGCTTGTGTTCCCCAAGAACGAAACTCTAGCTAAATGGGGTATATGGAGATTCCATCGTTTGTGGAAGCAGTGGTGGGCATGGCCTGCAAGCAATAAACTCCAAACAGTCCGTATAAGTACGAACACAACACTGACATTGCCGCGCCACTCTCGCGAGCGATCTCGTTAATTCACGATAGAACCCGTTCGTCTTCAAGCTAAATCTATTATCTGGGAGACGGATGATCCTAGGCGAAATTCCGATAGAATCCTTTTTTCGGAAGATCACTTAAGGCTATATAGGGCCGATGTAATGACCATGCCAAAACCATGAACTGCCGTGAATCTATGACACAGCGAGTTCTGTAGGAAATTGTGGATAGGAGTTTTGTCAATGGATGGCCGGTTACAGGCGAGAGTTATGCGTTGGGAATTCAGGTGAGATGCCCTGCGAATTGATCGAACTGTACTACAAAGCAAAACAATCTCTCGCCACTGGATGTGAACCAGAGATTGTGTCTTCTCTTATTTCTCAACTAAAGAGGTTTATCGAATCATCATTCAGTATAAACTGCTCTCTGACAGTGAGTTGACAAAAGCAGCAACTGCTTCAGAGAAAATCTCATCGAAACTGCATGGCTTGCGGGTGCCGGAGGTGGCGGTTTCTTGTACGTTTGGTTGAAGAATGGAGTGGAAATCAACCAACTGCGAGCTTCTGTTTCTCGGTATAAGACGGCTGAAATGTCGGTTCATACAGTAACTGTTGATAATGCTCCTATCGCTGTGTCTTTTAATTAGGTTTCCCGGTATTTACACACCTCCTCCAAAGAGACTAGCATATAAACAGGGTAAAACATCGGAGTGAATGGGGTAGCAGCGACGACACATTCACGAACATGCCTCTTCCATTACGACACTTACAAAATTTCCCTCTCTCATACAACCTCCTTTCCTGTCCTGCCAGATAGCCGCAGCAGGAAACCATTCACCAGTAAGTTTTTCGTATGTATGTAGTCGCCCAGAAAGGGACTCTACCGCCCTTTTTGTCTTTTCCATTCTTTCAGTCAGGATTGTCGATGGGGCCGAGAATTATTTTCCAATACGTTCTGTTTCTACGTTGTAATAATTCCACTAACTCTCACTTCTTTTTTGTGTCCTTTCCTTTACCGGTGCAGCTGTGATTTTTGATGCTTCTCAGTTTCACTTCCACCAACTGTATTGCTATTAAGTGCTTGCATATAAAATGCAACTGTTTATATGGGAAGTTGTTCGGTTAAGATTCAATAAAGAGTAAAGTTTGCGCGTCGACCAACCCCTTCTTGGGATGCGGCACGCATTCTACTTCCATTACGAATCGTAATGTCTTATTGAATGCGACGTGGCAAGTGTGGAACCAGCTTAGCGTTTTCGAAGAGTTGAACGTCTGGTTGGCCTTGGCAGGATCCGATATTTGATTCCCGGATCGCGACATAGCAACTGTGCCACTTGCCATTAACCACACCTTAGTTAAGGTTCATAAAGTTGAGAGAATAATATTAATGCGTGGTGAACGTGAATCAATTTTTCGTATAAATAACAATTGAGCGATCCAATTCAAAGAGTAAAATCGATTATCACGGAGCCTTCACCTCTTCTCTCAAATAATGGGTGTTCCTTTCAAAAATGTTCAAATGGCGCCAGCGATAAAATCGAGCGTCATATCCGTGATCGAGACCTCAAATCCTCCATATACAAGTTTTCAATGATTTTGGCGAGAAAGGTCTTGGCGCCAAGTGGCACATAAATGCGCCAGCGGCAGAAATGTATGTCATATTCGGAATCAGACAACGAATAACATACATACCTACCGAAGAGGGAAATCTTTGCGCTTTTGGAGTAGCAATAGTGGGAAAGGGCCAAATGTCACAATAGTGATTAGACATTATTACCGGAATCTGCTTATAACACCCAAACGTTTTCACACTATACCAAAAAAGATGGCTCGAGCCCAGGGCACAGCATTACTTGGGGATTTTGGTCGAGCCCGTACGACCCCCCCCCCTTTTTGGGGGTTCGGTACGACCCCCCCCCCTAAAAAACAAACAGTGAAAAAGGGAGTTTTTCACTGTTTGTTTTTTTTTGAGCTCGAGCTAGGCATACCTATATGACGGCTCTAAGTTGTAAAGGCATAAAGTGATACCACTCAAAGTTTGGAGGAATACCTGTCAACTTTTGTGAAGCAATGAATACGAGGATGTGAAATAGCGAACGTGCTGATTCTTAAATTTGCATTCTGGATCTACTGGGGATGCAAGCAAACTGTCCTTGTTTGAACGAAGATATTTTCCTAGAAACTCAACGGTTTCGCAATTCTGAAACCGGTATCGAATCTAGAAGATTTGCTCTTTCCAAAAACTACTTAAACTTTTTCTGAAGTTTCCGGGATTCATGAGATAATTGCGTTGGGGATTTGTTAGGGAGCACTCCGAGCTGCTCGAAAAATCCGTTTTCTGTGTACCGTTTCAAGCGAGCGTACTCGGATATCCAGAAATGCATCTGGAATGCATCCCTTCGTGGAATAGGAGCAAGCAGTAGGTGTTTTAGCGCCCATTAGCTTCATTTGTGGATGCGCCATGCTAGGCTCCCACGCAGAGTGGGATGGTGCAAGTTCCACGCAATGCCTGTCTACACGAGCAGATGTGTTTACAGGATTCAGGGAGTTCCATGGCCAACCTACGCACTTGTTTACAGTGTTGTCCGTTGCGGATGATGGGGCGTGTCCGTGTCCGACGCCGCCAGATCTGTGCTCCGCCAATTGCTGAATTTGATAAAGGAAAAGGATAAAAGAAAGGAGACCAACTGCTGGAAAACGCCTGATACGAACGATATGGTAGTCCTGTCGTTCGTCGTAAGAAAAAACGACAGGCTGGCTCAGCGCCACGCGCGATCATCCGCAGTGGACCACGGTATGAGTTGTACTGTTTAGCCATATACCTACTTACGAGATGATGTCGACTTATTAATATTTCCAGTATTTCTGATTAGTTCAATCAAAGAAAGTTTTGTACTGTTTTTTTTACATATCCGGATTCGGCGCAGTTTGTCGACGGAGGGCATTTTTAACTTTTGCTACTTCCCATCGACGTGGCGGCCTATCTAGACAGCCTCTTCTCGAGTTGACAGGTTTTAACATGATGGCTTGACTACCTTGTTCCAGCTTCACAAGAGTTCACAGGTTTCGCCAGAGTGAGACATGTAAACCGGAACTGAGGAAGCAATGATAGTACAAAATGCCCCTCGTCGACGAACAGCGCCCCGGATTCTCTACAAAGCAAGTTTCGCTACGCAGGACTCAGCACATTGACACCTTTGCGCTGCTCGTTACTGGCTACCGCACTCATTACGACCCCCCTCCCCTCTCGGCCAAATACGACCCCCTGTTGGGGAATCCCCAACAATGATGTGCACTGCTCGAGCCCCTCATTGAACAGGCTGCATACATCCCCCATGAATAGCGCGCGTGTACATGAGAAAACTTTGCAGTGAAGGTAAATCTTACACCCACAATCCTCGAAACTAAAGGTTGACGAGTCTCGTGTGCAAAAACACTGTCACCACAACCGTCGCGAAAAATAACAGGATACCCACTAGTTCATTGTGCGTTCAGAGGACCATTACGGAAAACAGCAGAGGTAGAGTAAGGAATCTGAACACAGGGTTTACTCATGGCTGACTCCGAAATATGAATCACAAAGTATGCGATCGATGCCCTTCAGTTGCAACATAAACAGCTGCTCATCGCACCGGGTGAACATCCTGCTCCAACACACGATAAAATGTTTGTCCAGTTTCTGTTCTTTGCTTTTTTTCGACCCTGTGCCATATTTTCCGAGAACCGTCATTACTGAACGATTCGTGCCTGCTCCATGAGCTTGGGGTATTGGGAGTCACTGCCTGTCAGTGTTGACTCTCTATCTCCAACCCGGAAGTTTTAACACCTACATTTCTTAATCACGAGATGGGGAGGGCGCAGCTGCGTGCCTCACTAGAACACAGGACAGAATGCGTTTCTCGTAAGATGTTTCCATTCGGAAAACAATCGTTCCAGCTTTGTTTTGAACAAAGACAGCATTACATTTGTCCCGAAAATCAGCTGTTGCCACGTTTAAATTAAGTACACAGCCAGTTCATCGGAAAATAAGCGTCCCCGTTCCACTCTCGACAGCAAATTCAAAACTATTTTCGATGATATCGAAGAATGGCTTTGAATTTATCAGTCCTCTATAACTCTTATGACTGAATATTGTAAACTATCGCCATTACTATGAGTTATTCTACCACTCACGATCCTCGTTACTCTTACAACTATCAGCTCTACTCTACTGAGGATATTTCCAGACCCCATGTCGCCGTAGGAAGGTGAACGTGGCCGTTCTAGTTCTAATCATAAGCGATATAACACAGAAATCAGCTCGGACGTTCTTGCAAAGCTTCTGCTTCCTCATGTACACAAACGACGAAATATTGTTCTTTGCTGCATAAAAATAAGCGCTATCTTATCAGCAGAGGGCGCCTGCCAAACCCAACCTCATGTTGGTGGGACGACGTCTCTTCCAACTTCTCCAAACTCCTTTTCTTGCATTCTTCTTGCTGTGTGTTGTGCGAAAAATCCTTGCCTTATGGAATGGTAACTGTCTCATAGAGAAGTAACTTTTGGAAGTTATATGTTTCGTGAATATCCGGTTCTAGTGTATTTATTTCGATTTGTCAGCATACGTAAAATTGAAATTGCATAGGACTGGTACGAACCTACAGAACCAGCATTTTAGCACTTGATTTTTTTCATTGAAAACAGGACGAAAATGCTGTTTAATAACCGGAAAAAGATAACTGGTGGCATGAGGAACAGTGCCTGGAAGTTGCATGAATTTTTGACGGGATTTTTTGGAGGTCGAAGCTGCAGTCATCCTTTTATGGTTTACGATGACAAAATTATGATAAAACTTTCACCCCAGGGACCCTCCCTCCACCATCTGATAGACATATTCGTGGCTCGACTCTGACTTTTGGGTACTTCACAAATTAAAACAGTTCCGTCAGTTGGATCGTATTTTCATCGGCGACTCGATGCCGAAACGTAATGAAAATCACCTCCCCCCCCGCTCTGCCCCTGGGACTGTAAGATAAAAGAAAAGCGAAATGGGTTGCCCACAGAGACGCAGAGCGGGAACGGGTTGTGAGGTTATTCGGATGGATCGCCATGGACTACCCCAGTCCGTGTAAAAGAAGGTATACTCTATTGCTAGTAGCCTTTGTGAGGTATTATTCATGTGAGCTGGTGCGTCATAACATTACATACAGTCGGTGAAAAAGGTTGCTCTCAACAGGATAGTTTGAAACACGCGATTGAACAAAATCGCCCCGACTGAGGTTTCCGACCAAGACAGCGCTGGACCACACCTAACATTGGCCACGCGACAAGTTACTTGCATGGCTGATCTGTAGTAAAGATCCCGTCGGAAACACTGACACTCCAGTCTGAGACCGTCTCTATATAGGTATTCACAGTTTAACTCGAACATTTCCTATACAATCAGTTTTCCCGATCTCTCTAATTGCCGGTGGTCATGAGACTGAGCTGTTAGTCCCGTTATCATCCACCGCCATTAAGAACTTGTGGCGACCGCTGATATTTCGCTTTTTCATCTCACCGCTAAGCTGCTATACTCTTATTCCTCTTATCTGAAATATTTGGGGAGAGAATACCAAAATTTTCATCGAACAAAGTCCGCGCAATTTTAACCGTGGCCCAGCTGACAAGTCGTGCGATTTGGATTCGGACGACTGCGACCAACTCGTGCTCCATGGCTAACTGCTTGATCGCTGTAGCGGTCGGTGCAGGGTACCTCATCTTTGGGGATTCCCAACAAAGGGGGGGGGTTCGTATTTGGTCGCTGGGGTGCAGGGAAGGAAGGGGGTCGTATCTGAAGTGAGAAAAATTTTTTTTTCGATAGTTGATTTTTCTTGTTTCAGGGACGCTATGAAGGGGTGGGGTGGTATTTGGCTTCCTTGGCCTTCTGAGAGATGTAGGTCAGCACCGACAAACTAGTAGAGAGACAACTTCTAGTTAACATATAGTAAGTATGGTAATACATATAGAGTCGAGTAAAAAACAAGCAACGTTTTTTTTTCTCACTGATCTTCTATTGATCCTGCCATAGAGCACCCAGTCAAGTTTGATTTCATATTAAAGAAAGTGCAAGCAGCATCAAACGTGTCTCAATGGCACGCCAGCTGCGAAAGGTTTCGAAAGCACAAATAGGCTAGGCTTAGGCAGCGTTCATACTTCTGCGACAGCAGTGGCGATCACCGCGATCGTCGGTACGCGTCAGAGCGCGCCCCACGCTATTACTTGGACCGCTCCAGTGCTTTAGGAGGAATTGGCTTAATTTCCTGTTTTTTTCCTTTTAATTGCAATTGACTCAGGTACTAGAGTTTGTTTTGACTCAAGGAAAGGTGGATGAAGCTTAACGCTTTTCTTTTCCATTTCCTTTTTGATACAGCATAGAAACAACGACTCCTCCCCCCACCTCCCCCCACCCACTCGACCGCTCGATGAGGAGGGAACCAGGGGAAGGGGTCGTAGGGGTCGTACCAATCCTCTTAAAAAAGGGAAGGGGGTCGTATGTACGCACTCGACCAAAATCTCCAACTAATGATGTGCCCTGGTCAGGCATGTGATGACCACTGTGAGTTGTCACGCTAGTGAGAGTGACCAGCGATGTCACGTGCTGCCTGCGGCAAATGGATAGCCAGCCAGCCGCATGTGAAGATGATGAACTCATGTCAACACTTTCTTCCTGGTAGAACCTCAACAGGAGAGATCGGGATGCCGTTACGGGACATCAAGCAGCCCTACGCACTTGCAGGACCCCTTCCTTACGCAAGTGGTCTGGTCCTCAATCTCTAAGCGTACTCACTTCACAGTAAGTAACCAAGACGCGTAGGGGGTGACGATTGTCTACTTGTCCCGCCCATCAGAACTCATATGCTATTTTCTGGCACGAATTCATTTTTTGCACCGTGTTCCTCGTTTTTTTAAACTGTGGGTTGGTATTAACAAGATGGCGCCAGTAAACATGTAGTGAGTCAGAGGCGGCAGGATATCGCTTTGCAGCACCGAAGGAGCAGGACCAGAGAACTCGTCTAGAGAGGCGGCCAGGTCCTTAGAGTGTTTCCCATAATTTTTTTCTGCTTTTCTTTCCCTTAAGGTCATTTAGCTGCTATAAGTTTATAACTGACCCACAATATAATACATACAACCGCGATGCTTATCTTTAAGAGTTGATTCAATTCCATGCGGACCTACGAAAGAATTCGAAACTTCCTATGAAGTAGTTTTTTGATGCATCGCGCAACGGATAATGTGATAGAGACTATTTTATAACCCTTGTTGAAAAGTTGCATGTGATAAAGGGCACATAAGCGTAGATTATAAACAATCTGTCCATTTCTGGGCGAACACAAGGGAATGTTCGTTCATGAAATGTTTCTTCCTCTTTTTTTCTCATTTATTCTTACAGCTGTGATTAGAAATATAAGCGTGGTATTAGCATCTCTCGTGAACAAAATACTTTTCAATGAATTTGCGCTGACAAACCGTCATCCAGCTATCTCACCATTTTCCATTCTTTTTCAACAGTTCCCCGAAAATACCTGATGGTTGATATTACATCCCAACCGGGTTCAGGATGCGGTTCTTACCGCTGCTCATGGCTGTCATCACCAGCAGCCTCCGAGCTGATAATGTGCGTATGGACTGCCATCCCGAACCGGACGCCAATCAGCAGAATTGTGAAGCTAGAAACTGCACATGGTTACCGCCACCGGATCAGGATGTAGGCAGGAATTTTGCAAAGGCAGGAGTTCTACAGGAAATCCTTACATTCAAACATTTACTCTTTTAGAAGACAATACCATGGTGTTTCATGAAGAAGGGCATCGGCTACGTCAATGTGTCTTCTTCAGGTTCGGTGAGTGATAACGCTTTCTGCACATTTTTCACTAACAACAAAGTCTCTTTCGTTCCCCTTCCTAGACTACCATCAGAAGTCTTGGGCCGCTAATTGCTCTCAGCTCTCAACTAACGCATCCAACGTCCCTCCTTTTCCGCTCGGCTTACATGTCTTCAGGGTTTCATAGAAATTTTGGCTTACAGGTAATTACACTGAAGAAAAACAACGGTCCAAGGAATCCATGGGGAGACGACATCGATCACATTCAATTAAAAACTGACACTTTTGGGAAAACTTTGAACGTGAAAATATTCGTGGATGGAAGGTAGTCGTTCCTTCTCATAAATAAAAAACTGTGGATGGTAGTGAAACGGTACTTTTGTCGCTTCAGGTACGACCCTCCTGTTGGTCTCCCACGAAACCCCTCCGTTTCTGCTGATAGCCTGCAGGTAAATCTTATTAATTGTCTTGTAAACTATCCTGGAACTTGTCACCCAGCTAACACCAAGGCCACTTTATGTGGAAATTAGGAGCGTGGGGAAACGAGAGAATGCGCGCCAAGACCACGTATCGATCGCTTTGGGGAAAATAGATGGATAAGAGACCAAGGCAATTGTATGGGATAATGGAAAAGCAGGTCGGCATCAATCAACTCCTGGGGGCGTAGCTTTACATCCCCACGAGGGGAGATATCTCTCGGAATCACCACTTTCTGCCGTCATCCTTACTGTTGTCCCTCGTCCCTCTGGTCCTCGTCGCCCTAGGTTCATACTGGCGCACGTTTTGAAAGAACAGAGTAGAGTGCAGAGTATGATCGGCATTCTCCCCTTTTCCCCAGCGCCTGTCGTTAGGGGAAACCGGTGGTGAAGTGGTGAAGCAGAGGCTGCAGCAGGCAGAAGCAGAGAGACGACGGG